CTAGTTTTTTTCAGCATTGTTTAAATTCAGGGTTCATGGGATAATCAAGCTATTCTTTTTCAGTAGCAAAGTGTAATGCATTGCTTTTTCATTACTCAGTTTTTATTTAGGAAATTATAAAAGTTAAAAAAGCTAGAAGAATAGTATGGTAAACTTCTCTATCCCCTTCAGCTAAATTCATCATTTGTTAACAACATTTCATAATATTCTCCCTCTCTCCCTTTGCCCTCATCTTTCCCATCCCATATACGTTTTTCTTTTTGCTGAGACATTTAAAAGTATATTGTATATTAAAAGACATCGCCCGTATACTTTAGTATATGTCTCTTATTTTTAAGATTTATTTATTTATGAGAGAGAGAGAGGCAGAGACACAGGAGGAGGGAGAAGCAGGCTCCATGCTGGGAGCCTGACGTGGGACTCGATCCCAGGACTCCAGGATCGTGCCCTGGGCCAAAGGCAGGCGCTAAACCACTGAGCCACCCAGGGATCCCCAGTATATGTCTCTTAAAAACAAGAATATTCTCTTGCATAACCTTCAGTACCTTTATTATACCCCAATAGTCTAGCATTGATACAGTAAAATGGTGTAATCCACAATCTGTATTTACATTTTTTCCATCTATACCCAGAAATGTTCCCCAAAATGTTCATTTCTCCCCCTGTGGGACCTAATTCATGATTATATGTTATGCTTGGTTGTCATGTCTCTGTGTCTTTAATCTAGAGCAAGGTCTAACAGACTTTTTCTTAAGGGATCAAATGGTAAATATTTTCAGCTTGGGGGAATCAACTGCACTTTGCAACTACTCCACTTTGTCATTGTAGTTAGAAAGCAGCCATAGACATTATGTAAATAGATGTGTACAGCTATGTTCTAATAACGCTTTATTTATAGAGGAGTGCCTGGGTGGCTCAAGTTAGTTGTGTCTGATGACTCTTGATTTTGGCTCATGTCATGGTCTCAGGGTTGTGAAATTGAGCTCCACACTGGGTGTGGAGCCTGCTTAAGATTCTTTCCTTCTTCCTCACTTCCATCTCAAAAAAAAAAAAAAAATCAAGAAACAAAAACCACTTTCTTTATAGAAACTGACTAAAGGTTGTAGACCTCTGATCTAGAATAGTTTGTTCTGTTTTTTAACTTTTATTTTTTAGTAGGCCCATTGTGGAGCCCATGGTGGGGCCTGAACCCATGACTCCCCAGATCAAGACCTTAGCTGAGATGGAGTTGGATGCTCAACCAACTAGGCCACCCGGTGCCGCTAGAATAGTTGTGTTTTTGTTTTAAGATTGATTGATTGATTTTAGAGAAAGAGAGCAGGAGGTAGGGGCAGAGGGAAAGAGGGAGAGAGTCTTAAACAGATTCTGCACAGCATAGGGCATAATCTCACGACCCAGAGATCATGACCTGAGCTGAAATCAAGAGTTAGATGCTTAATTGACTGGCCACCCAGAAGCCCCTATAGGAATATTTCACATTCACAGATGTGAACAAAGAATTCAAGAGGTCTTAGACAATGAAAGGTTGTGAAAATAACTTAGATGTAGAATTGAAGAGTATTTATATCTTACTTAGTCAAATATAATTTCATAATATAAATCTAAACGAGTCTTACTGTTGAAGACATGAGACCATGAAATTAACAATTCTTTGCCACAGGTAAGCCTACTATTTGTAGCCATAGATTTAACATTAGAAATAGATAACAAATAATTTTTGATAGATTTAATACAGAGTTGTCCTTGTGGGAATGCTGTAAATATACTTGCATCCACATAAAATTATATACATTTAAGAAAATCATTCTACAGATTACTTGGTTGAGTGAGTAGCAAAAGTGTGAAAGTAGCATGTTTTGCTGGAATTAAAGAGTTGCAGTATTTTTAGTGCTTGAATTTCCTTAAATATCTGTATGAACATCTGTGGTGATTGGGTGCTGTACTGCCGTCTTTTATTGGTTTGACTGAGACCACTATTTTTTCATATTGTGCCTTTATCACGATTCTGGTTTGACCCTTTATAGCCTGTAAAAGTCTATTTCCTTTTCTGTATAGCTTGTATATTAAATAAAAATTGAGACAATATCCTATTGGAGGTTTTAATTTCTTGGTTAAATATTCTCAGAGTCTTAATCATTCCTCACATCATATCTCTACAGTAAATGGCTGGTATGATCTTGACAAATTACTTAATCTGTGCCTTGGTTTCCTTATTTGTAAAATAGTGATAATGGTACCTATCTTGTAAATTTATGTGTTGTTATACTTAAAATACACTGTCTGGCTTATAGTATACATTCAGTAAATATTAGATACTATTGTTATTTCTGCTTACATACTTTGTTGTCCACCTTATCTCTTCATGAACCCATTTGTCTCTCTTAAAGCAGAGCTGAACACAGTAGCAGGTGTGATCTGACCAGCCTAGGAAGAGTACAGTTGTTATTTCCTCCATTAATTTGAATTAAAGTTGAAATTTTCTTTTTTTAATTCATCGTGGAGAATTTCAAACATACAAAAAAGTAGACAGACTGCTATGATGGACCTCACATACCTAATCTCTATCCCCAGTAACATGGCCAATCCTGTCCATTTGCTTCCATACAGTTTTCTCCTTCTCTGGTGTAATTGTAGCTCCCCTGTTATACATAAGGTCCATGCCTGATTGGCTTTGGTAATTATTAGGGCTTTTAGGATCATACCTTGTTCTCTTGTAAACAGTTACCAAATTAATGAACAAATGAATCTTGCCTTGACTGATGTTTGGATCAGTTTCTAGTAATTTGCTTTTGGAGGTGAAGTGGATGGGTAGGTGGGATCGAAAATAGATTTGTTTGTATCGTACTGCTTTTTTTTAGGTGTCACCTAGTTTTTTATTATTCCTTCCATTTTTGCATAGGAATACATGTGGTAATCTAACTGGTAAAATCTCTGAGTACTCTAGAAAATAATTCAAATTAGCTAGTCGAGAAGACTTGAGTTTACTATTTTCTTACAGTGTTTTCACTTATTCTGGACTATGTTTTACTAATATTTATTTTAGGACTTTAATTTAGTAATCATTTTATTTTGATTAAAGAGAAGCAAATAGAGTTTGAAGAGTTATACTTTGTCATCTCTGTTGGAATAATTTAAGTACAAATTGTAAAAATTGTTACAAGGTATTGGTTTCAGAGAGAGGCCCTTCTTCCCAGCGTCAGTAATTGACTATAGCACTTTTTTCAAGCTTGTGTTTACTTTTTCCAAAACTCTGTTCTTACTTGTTCGTTATTAATTGTTACTGTGCTTTCAGCACTTTGCTGAAAGTTTAATAGACTCATAGTCATTTTTATATTGATGATACAGAAGTATTTAACTCTTGCTTAAAACAGAGATCAGTCATAGTATAGAGACCCCATGACAAGTCTTTGGTTATTCACTAGTGGGGAAGAGGTTCTGGAGGTAAAGTATGGCGGTTAAGAGTACTGTAGAGAGTTTGGATAGGTTCTAGTACTCAGCTCACTACCATCACGCTAAGGCTGAGCCTCGGGGAGCCTGTCTCACGAAAACAGCCAGTATGGGCAGGGTTTGTACGCTCCATACACTTAACAGCAAATGGCCTCACGGAAGTGAGTTTAGACTTAACCTCTGTAACTTAATCCAGGAGTGACTTAGTTTGGTTCTTGCTTTCCAATTCAGTTCTGACTTTGAAATGAAGTATCTCTAGCTTGAGAGGAGTCTTACCCCCTTCAGTGTTATTAGTTCTTACTTTAATGTTTATCATAAACGTTTCAAGAACAAGAGTAAGTATGTTTTAGGCAGGGGGCTAGAGAAGTATCCTGATAAAGAATGCTACGTTGCAATTATGCCATGGCTGTGAACCTCAAAATTGTGTTGTCTTACCTTTGAGATTTCTGCTGGTTTGCTGACTTTTGAACTTAAAAGATTCACTATACTTTTTGATTGTGCAAGACATCGATCTATTCATTTGTTCATTCAGAAATATTGATCATCTCTATGCTGGGAAGTGTGCTGCACACGGGATGAACAAAACAATGAACTTCTCAGATGTGTTTGCCTTTATGGAGTTTACATTTACAGTCTAATTGGAAATGGAGTGAAATTTATTTGAAGCCATAAAGAAAAATTTTGTTTTACTTATACGACCTAACCACTAATTTTGAAGCCAACTTGGAATGAGTTGTTTTTTACTCTTTTTGCAAAGTGTATTTCAACAGTCAGGACTTTGGAGCTAACATATTCTCATATGTGTATTGGTATTTTAAAATAGACATTAGGCAGGACAATCTGAACAAAAAAGAGAGAAGAGATAGGAAGAGAATTAACTAGTATACATGTACCCTAGTGAGATTTCAGGATAATGACAGATAGTAGGTTTGTGTGGGTAAAAGTATTATGTTGTGCTAAACAGACCTTTGCAGGTAGGGAGTAAGTATCTTTAAGGCCTTTCTTCTTTAAGGATGTTCAATACTTAAGAATTGCTTGGAAAGTAAGCTTCCTGTAGAATGGAAGTATAATAGAGGATGAGAACCATGACACCTAAAATCATGTCTTAATTATTTGACAGTTTGCTGTAACTCTGAGCAAGAAAATGTACCTCGGATTCCTTATTCCAACAGAATACAACAGAGGGACTGAATTTGCTGATCCCTCCTAGTGCTAAAACCTTACGATTTTGTTTTATTTTTTTATTTAGCAGTTTCTTAATGACTTTGTTGGAAAGTCAAGATGCCTTCATATTTTCTGTACTTGTTCAGGTTCAAGAATTAAAAACTTAAGATGGAGAAATAAGGCTTTGCTTTCTCTAACTGATATTTTCTGACTAGGTACTTCGTAACTCAGGAAGACCTCATTTATTCCCAGTAATATGTTTTACTAAACTCTTTCAGGTAACTTTATAAAGACTGTGTGGCTTAATAGTAGATCATGGCTTGAACTCAGTTTTTATTTATTGTTGTTACTAGAAAATTTTAGTGAGGTATTTTTCTTTGTCTCTGTAGTTATCAGAGACTGTTACAGACGATTGCTGTACTCGAGGCTCAACGTTCTCAAGCAGTCCAGGACCTTGAAAGTTTAGGCAAACACCAGAAAGAAGCACTAAAAAATCCCATTGGATTTGTGGAGAAACTCCAGAAGAAGGTATATATTGAGTACTTTTTAAGATTTATTGAGATATATTTGGTAATAACTTGATTTATTCTTTTAATATGGATATATACTTTTTTAAGTCTCTAATTTTTTTCCACTTCTACAACTAACTATCCTGCCCCTACCCCCACCTCAACACACAAAATATACTCCAATGAAAATAGGTGGGAGCTCTAATTGGATATTTATTTTAGGAATTTGATGTTCCATTCACTAGCCATTTTTAGGATCTTTTCCTGTTACCTTTCCATCTTAGGTTAAAGGAAAAGAGGGTTTTCCTTCTTCTTTGACAAGTTCAGGATTAGTAAAGCAAAAAAGAAAAAGTACTTCAGGATTTATTAACTAGTTTAGTTTGAGGTACTTTTGTAACTCTCCACATAGTGTGATAAAAAATATTGGTGATGAAAACAACTGTTTTAAATATCTTTAAGGCTATAGTTGCCAAGTCCATGAGGAGGAAGTATAAATTTTACTTAATTTTGTAATGGCTTTTGCTTTGGTGTAAAAACTCCTTTTGATTTTCTCTTTTCCTTAAAGCAGAACTTGCGTATCTAACAATTAATGATTTGAAATTCACTCACATTTTTATAACTTTCTTGTATGTAAGTTGGATAATCTATATGTGCATTTATACTGTATATATCTTGAACCAGGGACTCAGTAATTGTTTAATAAATTTGAGAAGCACAATATTAACTAGCACTGTGTGAAAACATTAACACTGAAAAACTATGAAAAAAGGATCTTCTTATTCACCTTAAAAAAAAAAAAAACCAAAAAATTAGCCTGTAGAGTATACCAACTTTAGTATAGTTATTAGTTACCAGTTTTTAATGAGTTACAAAAGTGTTCTACCAATGTTGAGCGAACAGCCCTGCAGACTTTTTTCATTTAGTTGTATTATTATTTGGATTTTTCTAGCCATATTATTTACTTGGCAGTCATTACTTTTCTCTCCATGCTTTAGAACATTGAATATCATAATGAATATAGAACTTATATATTAATTTTTTAAAACTCCTAAACCTTATGGATCCTCTTCTTTGTACAGTGAGTTCACGTAGGTGTTTATTGATTCTGCATTGCCATTATTAATCATTTCTCTTTTTTTAGTATATTTTTTTATTGGAGTTTGATTTGCCAGCCTATAGAATAACACCCAGTGCTCATCCCGTCAAGTGCCCCCTCAGTGCCCGTCACCCAGTCACCCCATCCCCCCCCACCCACCTCCCCTTATTAAACATTTCTATTGCAAAAAGATATAGTACTTATAGTGGTTACTTAGAACTGATTCAACTAAAACAGATGGCTGTAGAAAAGTAAATATTAGTAAAAAAATTATTAACCTTGATCTTGCTTTTATTCATGTTCCCTAGTAGTCAGAAAGATGCAGTGAGGCTTATTTACTAGATTTGTATGTAGTTGGTTATTTGCCAGTTTTCCATTTCCAGGTTAATTTAGAACTGAATTTCTTTTCACTTTATCTCAGTAATAAAGATGTGATATTGACCATCTTAACAATTTTTAATCAAAATGCACAAAATTACATTAAATCCAGATACTTAGTAATCATGAAAGATTTAGATTCCTTGGAAAGAAATTTTTCTCCTGGATTTAATTTAGAAGTTTGAGTTTTCTGTGTGTGTGTGTGTGTGTGTGTGTGTGTGTGTTATGTATACAGATATTTTGACTTAGCGATGGAGTTATGTTCTGATAAACGCATTTTAAGTTGAAAATATCATAAGTCAAAATTTATTTAACATACCTAACCTACTGAACATCATAGCTTAACCTAATCTGAGGTTCCATAAAGGTTCTCAGAACACTTACATTAGCCTACAGTTGGGCAAAATCATCTAACACAAAGCCTATTTTATAATAAAGTATTGGATATCTCATGTAATTTACTAAATATGACATTGAAAGTTAAAAGGGGATGGTTGTGTATGGGTACAGAATAGCAGTCAGTGTATAGATTTTTTAGCCTTGTGATCCCATGGCTAACTGGGACCTATGGTTCGCTGCTATTGCCCAGCAGCGTGATATTGGACTACGTATCACTGCCTTGAGAAAAATTCAAAATTTGAAGTTGAATAGTTGTAAATTGGGTGCCATCTGTACTTAATTTGCCTATTTCTTTAGGTTTACTGTACTAGTTAAGTTGTTAACCTGTGATCTGTTTTAGTGGATATTTAAAAACTCCCAATTGAAATTAAGGAAACTTGTGGTATATATTGGTATATAGAATGCAAGGAACATTTATGGCTTGTAAGCTTCCTTTGGTATTACTGTCATTATTTTTAAAGACACTCTTTGTGAAAATTGAGCCTTAGATTAATTTGTATTATTATGATGATGGTGATAATGTAATATATCATAAGCAAAATAAAAATTAAGAATTCTCTGTAAACAGTCAAACTGGATTTTGCTTGCCAGTTTGACAGTTTATGACCTGATGTTTTTCTCAACATTTTACTATGGAAAATGTCAAGTACACAGAAGAATTGGAAGTATTGTATAGTTAACACACTCATATTCACCCTTAGATTCTATAATTAAAATTTTGCTATATTTGCTTTATCATGTGTGAATCAATCCTTCATCATTCCATCTTATTTCAAGAATGAATTTTAAAGTTGCAAAAATAAATAAATAAATAAATAAATAAATAAAGTTGCAGACATGAACACATTACACCAGAACACTTCAGAATGCATATCACTAATTAAAATTCTTTTTTAAAACATTTTTAAGGTGAGATTTCCATACAGTGAAATTTACAAGTTCTATTTGTACCATTCTGTGAGTTCTGACAAAAAACATACACCTCTGTAACCCAAATCCCTATCAAAAGATATTGATTATAATGATCTGGTTTTAATAATTATAACAACTAATGACTTCTCTAAAGGGGGTTGGTTAAGTAACTGAATTCCAAGTAGATTAAACATGTAGTTTTGATTCTCAGGGTGTCATAATTTTTTGTGTATGTGCTAAAAATTATATTGTGAAAATAATTCGTTGTTTTATGAGTAAGTCATGAACATGGGGGTACACTTAAAATGAATTCTATGTGTCAAGCCTCATCTTTTGCAATCGAACACCTTTCATACACTGTTATTAAAGATAGAAACCTTTCTTTGCTATTTATATTTAAAGTGTATTAGTGATAAAGCTCAGCTTTAGAGTTCTAAAAATAACACTTGTCTTATTAAATTCATTCTTCCTCTACTTTGCTATCACTTTACTACTTAATGTTTAGACTGTATTATCTTAAGTTTATTGGCTGTTGGATTCAAACAGTGATTAGAAATGTCCAGTTGATGATAACTTGGTTTTGGAGTCCTCTGAAAATTTGGCTTAGTAGATAATTTTTTGAATTAAATTTAGACTGCCATTTTGTTTTATTTTCTCTCAGGCTGATATAGGACTTCCGTATCCACAGAGAGTTGTTCAGTTGCCGGAGATTGTATGGGACCAATATACCAATAGCCTTGGGAACTTTGAAAGAGAATTTAAAAATCGTAAAAGACATACTAGGAGAGTTAAGTTAGTTTTCGATAAAGGTAAGAAATTAGATTGTAAAAATTTAAATAGAGAAGTATCTGGCAGTCTTGCTTTAATAATCCTATACATGGTCTTCTTTTTAGTAGGTTTACCTGCTAGACCAAAAAGTCCTTTAGATCCTAAGAAGGATGGAGAGTCCCTTTCATATTCTATGTTGCCTTTGAGTGATGGTCCTGAAGGCTCAAACAGTCGTCCTCAGGTAAACAATATAAAGCTTTGGAGCAGGAAAATTTGAACTGTAGACAAAATATTTTAACATTTCCTGGTTTGTATTCTTAAAATTTAAGCAGTATTTTACTGATGATAGTGGGGACATGAACTTTAGAGTTAAGAGAAACCTGGATTGGAATCCCAGCTCTATCGCTTACTAGCTGTGGAATGTCAGATGTCATTTATATTAAAGCCTCCAAGGGATGCCTGGGTGGCTCAGTGATTGAGTGTCTGCCTTTGGCTCCGGTTGTGATCCTGGGGTCCAGGGATCGAGTCCTGCATCAGGCTCCCTGTAGGGAGCCTATCTCTCCCTCTGCCTGTGTTTCTGTCTGTCTCTCTCTGTCTCTCTCATGAATAAATAAAATCTTTTTAAAAAAGCCTCCGAGCTGAAGTTTCCTTTTATATGAAATATTAATATTACCTGTGTTGTAGAGTTATGTGAGGATTAAATGAGTAGTACATGTAACATGTCCAGTACTGTGTATGACATGTACCCTTTATTCTAAAAATAACAGATTCGTGCAGTGTAATTTAACCAGGATTTGACTCCTGGCCTTGCCACTAGTAGTTAGATGAACCTCAATAGACATGTGGGTTCAGAATGGAAAAGTAACATTTCCTTTTCTTTCAAATGAAGTTGCTGTCCTCTGTATTACAGGGTTGCTAGGAATATAAAACCAAATAAAATAAAGGAACGTGAAAACTTGTTGTGAACAATAAAATTATACATTAAATAAGTTTACTTCAATATTTTGAAATTAATAAAAAATTCCACAATATGTATATTACTTAGCTATATCAAATGGTAGTCTTTATTATTTTTGACAAAAGCACTGTTTTATATGCAGATGATAAGAGGACGCCTTTGTGATGATACCAAACCTGAAACATTCAATCAGCTGTGGACTGTGGAAGAACAGGTAATATTTCTAAATTGTGTGTTTAAAAAAAGGCTCAGATTAGAGTCAGTATTAGACACTATTAATTATGTATTATTTATACAATATAAAATGTATATTGTATATGATCCCTCTTAACCACGAATTTAAAATACTAACTTATTTCTGTATACTTCTTTTTGCACTCTTAAGAATTTTGGATTTTGAGAATATATGAAATCTAGTTTGGGGATGATTTTTAGAGAAGGAATCTGGGTTATGGGAAGGGGATTGAAAAAGGTAGTGAAATGGGTGGAATAAAGTGTTTGTAATGTAGCTTTGGGAGAGAAAAACCTAGGGCCAAGTAAAGCAGTGCCTCAAAGTGAATTATTGTTTTTGTTACGGAGGGGAGCTGACAAAGCCATGCCAGAGTATTCTGTTACGATTTGGCATATGGCTAGGATTGTTCTTAGGTAAGTTTTGAGATATCTCTATTTGATATGAGAATTAACCCCATAGCTCTAATGAAAAGCTTTAGGAAATCTTCATTTCCAGCATCCAGATTATTCTGCATCTTTACTGTGAGACAGGGACACCTGGATGGCTCAGTGGTTGAGTGTCTGCCTTCAGGTCAGGACATGATCCTGGGATCTGGGATTATCCCACATTGGGCTCCCCACGGGGAGCCTGCTTCTCCTTCTGCCTATGTCTCTGCCTCTCTCTCTATGTCCCTCATGAATAAATAAATCTTAAAAAAAAAAAACTGGGAAAGTTTTAGGGTATAGATAAGAATTTGGAAGACCACCCAAAGAAAGGAAAAGTCTCTTTTATGTATTCTATCTAAATCCAAATGACATTTTTGTCAAATCTATAGGGGCAAGCCCAACCATAGTCTACCAAGAAAAAATGGTCAATGGAAATCATTAAGATGTGTAAAGCATAATTAATTAATTAAAAAAATTTTGGTGCTGTATTTTTACTTAAGTGAATAGAAAATCTTTATAAGGTCTTCCGTAGGTTTATTCTCTAATCTCGTTTTTCCTGTAAACTCTTGAGTTCCTTAGGAGAATTTTTCCTACCATGAGGATTGTTAGTGACCTAACCTCCAAAGTTGGAAAGGAATATTATAGTTTAAAAGGAGGTGCAAATGTATTTATTCATTTATGTAAGTGCATCTGTTTATGAAACTCAATATTAAACTTTTTTAAATTTGGTTTTCGTTTGTCTTAGAAAAAGCTTGAACAGCTACTCCTGAAATACCCTCCTGAAGAAGTAGAATCTCGACGCTGGCAGAAGATAGCAGATGAATTGGGCAATAGGACAGCAAAACAGGTGATTGAGGAGACAGCCCTGTATTGCTGGCATGTTTTTTTAATAGTTTTTAAATGAAAGATAATGGCAGCTGACATCAGCAAATCTGTTACATCCTATTTACCTACACAGTGCTATAGTATGTGGGTTTTTGTTTTGTTTTTAACATAGTACATTTTATGTTGAGTTCAGAAACAACTTGACATAATTAATTCTGCTTCAGATCATTACTAAAAAATAAGGATGTAATGTATTTAGTTTGGTGTCTTTTTGAATGTTTAGTTAGTGCTCCAAGTTGTGTACTTTTTGGTTAGACTATCCTAATAGATTTGTGACCTACTTAAGTATTCTCTGGTTGTCTGTTTTTATTTAAAAAAAAAAAAAAAAACCTAGCTGTTTTCTTCTTCAGATTACCATTGATATTAATAGATATGTTTTTAATGCTATAAGCATGAGCATTCACTAGTTGAAAATATGTGTTTAGCTTTGGAGTCAAACACATTTCCTTTATTTTAACGATTTTTTTTTGTTCAGGTTTTATTTTTTTATTTTTTATTTTTTATTTTTTATTTTTTTTTGTCCAGGTTTTAAAATATAAGTGTGCTTGTTGGCAGTTTAAAATTACTTCTAGGTTTTCTGATAAATTTTAAATTGTTAGCATCCGTTAAGATACACAGGTATATTTTAATTTTAAAAAAACCATTCAAAAAATAAAAAAAACATTCAAGTATTGCATGTCTCGTAATAACGTTAAATGTCTTTTGTGTTTCCTTAGGTTGCCAGCCGAGTGCAGAAATATTTCATAAAACTAACTAAAGCTGGCATTCCAGTCCCAGGAAGAACACCAAACTTATATATATACTCCAAAAAGGTAAAAAGAAAATGGAGAAAGTAAACTTTAGATCTTAAACTTATCAAAGTCAGAATTGGTATATGTAAAAATGCATACATCAGAACAAAATTGTCTTATTTTTAAAATCCAACTTACTATAAGCATTTTGTTATAATGATAGGATTCCGTTGTTGCTATTCAGTGAAATTGAATGATCCTTATGTTTGCTATTTTCTTAGGAGAAGGTTAGCTTCTGTGAATGGGTGCTACTTGAAAGATTTAGATTGAATGTACATCAGAAAGGCCTTTGTGATATTAAAAGTTTTAGAGTGAGTCTTCAATAGACACAATCAATTTCTGTTTTTAGATTACCACATAAACCCGAAAATAGGAATGTTTATTAAAATATATTACTTAAGCCTCACCACAATTCTAGAAGTGTAGTTTAGTATTATCATTTTTACTTTACTGGTAATAATATTGATAGCTAGCTTTTATTCTTCTTATTAAATGCTCTGGATCAATGCAGCCTTTTTTTGTTCAGGCAGAGAGGGATAAGGAGTGGGTAGGGCAGAGGGAGAGAGGATCCCAAGCAGGCTCTATGCCTGGAACAGAGCCCAATACAGGGCTCGATCCCACGACCCTGAGATCATGACCTGAGCTGAAAGCAAGAGTCGGACACTTAACTGACTGAGCCACCCAGGCGCCCCTGCAGCATTTTTTATAGATGAGAAAACTAGGCCTTGGGAGACCTGACTGGTTTAGTAGATAGAGCATGTGACTTGATCTCAGGATTGAGTTGGAGCCCCATGTTAGTGTAGAGATTACTTAAAAATACAGTCTTAAAAATAAAAAGCTAAGCCTTAAGATAAATGGAGTCAGTTGTCCCATCATAAGTCTGAGAACCATTGACCTCTTGATTCTAATCCCAAGCCTTTTCCACTGTTCTTTGCTGCTCTCTACAGTGAAAAAGCTGTTACCTCTTTCCTATATAAACCACTGCATCATATTGTAGCCAATTTTTTGCTTTAATTGCAAAAAATAAAGCACAAAATTGGCCTCTTTCATTTCCTTCGTAAATCATCCTGACATTTCCTCTCCACCATCACTGCCATTCTTTAGATAAGAAGCTAAGAGTATGTATCTGATGCTGTTACCCTTCCTTATTGAAGCTTCCTTATTGTTTTACATAATTTTACATTAAGAATATTATTTGGGGATCCCTGGGTGGCTCAGTGGTTTAGTGCCTAGCTTCGGCCGGGGGGGCATGATCCTGGAGTCCCAGGATCGAGTCCCACATCGGGCTCCCTGCGTGGAGCCTGCTTCTCCGTCCGCCTGTGTCTCTGCCTCTCTCTCTCTCTCTCTCTCTCTCTCTCTCTCTCTCTCTCTGTGTGTGTCTCATGAATAAATAAATAAAATCTTTAAAAAATATATTATTTGTAAAGCTCTATGTCTTACAAGTTTTATTTTTAGTCATTTTACCATGCTTTGGAAGCTTGTTTTGTCAGTTGATTTGAATATTTTGAATATCCTCCACCCCTACTCCTAAATATAGGATTACTTATATCAAATGTGTGGAGTTCATCCTATAACTTTGGAATGTTGGTACCTTGATACTTAATTTAACAGCTCTAATTTTCATGGTTAATTTCCAAGTTAACTTTAGGTGTATTTGGGTACCTTATATTTTCATAGTTAAACTAGTAATGATAACAGGAATCCTAAAGAAACCTAAATGTGTTCCCTCCTTTATGTGCACTGAATTTTAAGTTAGCATTTTGACTCTAGAGATGTAGCCCAGCCACAGACACAGAGTGATTCCTTGCCACTGTTACCTTGAATCTTTTTTTTTTTTTAAGATTTTATTTATTTATTCATGATAGGGAGAGAGAGAGAGAGAGGCAGAGACACAGGCCGAGGGAGAAGCAGGCTCCAATGCTGGGAGCCTGGTGAGAGACTCGACCCCAGGACTCCAGGATCACGCCCTGGACCAAAGGCAGGCACCAAACCGCTGAGCCACCCAGGGATCCCCCGTAGCCTTGAATCTTAAAACAGATGAAATGATGGTTCTGCTTGTAGCTGAGATTATCCTTTGTGGCTCTACTGTCTGTGAAGAGAGGCAATCTCTACAGGTGGTTTGAGAGTTAAGGCTTTGGTCCCACACAGGCTTAGTTTGTAATCTTGGTCTTACCACTATCTAGCTGCAGCACCCTGAACAAGAAACTTAACCTCCATCTTTAAATGAGAGGTGATAGTAAGTAACTACTTTGTAGGAATGTTGTGGGGATTAAATGACACTGACATACAGTAAGCAGTCCACCAGTATTAGATAGTATTTTTAGACATTCATCATGTTGTGGAAGTTTGTTTTGTTTTGTTTTTACTTGGTTGTTTATATCTGGCTTACGCTACTTCATCCTCCCTGCACTTCTATGAGAGGACTGTAAGAGGAGTGTTTAGCATTTGAAAAGAGTGTGGTCATTGTGGGGGATCCAAATACAAGCTAGATAGCATGTGATCCATGGTACTGGTGTTGGGGTATTCCCCCTACATTTTTTTTTAATCTAGTTGTGCTTTAAAAATCTAGATAATCTAGAAAAAACAAACACATAAGACTATGCTGAAGGGTAGAACCGAAATCCTTTTAATAGATAGAGCTAGAGGAAACAATTGTTATATTTGATTATCTTTGATTCTTTTAATGGTTTTCCATTGTCCCAATTAAAAATTTGTTTTCTCACTTAGTCTTCAACAAGCAGACGACAGCACCCCCTTAATAAGCATCTCTTTAAACCTTCCACTTTCATGACTTCCCATGAACCACCAGTATATATGGATGAAGATGATGACCGATCCTGTTTTCATAGCCACATGAACACTGCTATTGAAGAGGCATCAGTAAGTTATCTATTTATATAAAAATGTATATACGTATATATTTATCTATGTATTATACAGATCAGGATACAGAATGAGAGCACCAGAAGTTTGATATTATTCTCTTCAGAGAATGTTGGTTTCTCTTAATTAACCAGTCAAATTTATGGGCTTTTTAAAAACAATATATGGTTAAAGCAAAAGCAATATATTGTTAAATTGTTGTATATTCAAAAAAAATTGTATATTCATAATATATATCATGTACATTAACATGTAAAAAAAATTTTAAAACATGCAAAAATAGAATAGTATAATGCATTCTATAGATACTATATTAATAAAATAAAAATTTAAAACATGCAAAAATAGAGTGGTATAATGAACCCACAGGTACCTATCACCCAACTTCAGTAATTATCAGTTTGTTGCAATCTTATTTTCACCTGTACTTCTTACCCACCTCAGCTCCATCCTAGATTATTTTGGAGCAAGTCCCAGACATTACAGAGTATTATTATCATGTTACAAAAAGATAATTCTCTATGCAAATATGCACTCAGTTCACATTCCCCCAGTCAAGAATTGAAATATATTTCCTCCTTCCCTCTCCACCCCCTTTTCTCCTCTTAGAACTTTTTTGTTGAAAACTGGATTAGAATTTACCACATGTGTATTTTGTTTGCCTCTCCTTGATGTCAATTATTCTATCTTTCTGTTCCCTGAATTTTCTGTAAATTGATAAGAGGTCTAGATAATTGACCAGATTCATACTTGTTTCTGTTTTTTATTATTTTTTTTTAAGATTTATTTATTTGAGAGAGAGTGCAACACAGGGTATGGGGACAGAGGGGGGAGTGAGAGCGAGTCTTAAGCAGACTCCACGCTGGGCATGGAGCCTGACTTTTTAGGGCTCAATCTTAAAACCCTGAGATCACGACCTGAGCCAAAACCAAGAGTCAGACACTTGACGGACTGCACCACCCAGATTTGTTAGGGTGGGCAGGTCTAGTTCATGTGTACTTATATATCAGTGTGATTGTCCTTTTTTTGTTGGTTGGTTAGGTTTTTTTTGTTTTTTTTTGTTTTTTTGACATAGTAGCCATTGATTGTTACTGGGATTCATTAATTCATTAGATTTTACAAAGTAGTGATTTTGTTCATTTTTTAAATTTATTTGATAGACTATTCTGTAAAATAACCCCCTCTCCTTCAACTGTTTGATTACCCTAAGGTCCATATGAAAAAGGCAGTATAACTGCTTAATTGTTCGGTTGTTTTTTTGTTTTTGTTTTTTTTTTTTAGGATTTTATCTATTTATTTGAGAGAGAGAGAGCACAAGCAGGGGGGCAAGGATCCTTAGAGGGAGACAGTGAGGCAGATTCTCTGCTAAGCAGGGAGCCTGATGCAGGGCTTGATCTGAGAACCGGTTCTGGGACCATGACTGAAGCTGAAGGTAGACACCCAACTCAGCAACCCAGGCACCCTGATTTTTTTATTTTTTAAATGATTGAGGGGCACCTTGGTGATGCAGTTGATTAAGCATCAGACTCTTGATCTTAGTTCAGGTTGTAAGCTCAGGGTTGTGAGTTCAAGTCCCATGTAGGCCCAGTGTGGTGCCTACTTAAAAAGAAGAAGTACTGTATTTTGATTTGGAGTTTAAGTGGAAGAACTCTAAAGAAGTGGTAGTCGAGTTGGCAATTGAAGGATGAACAAAATTTAGCCAGATGAGAAGTAGATGAATATATGTAGTAGATTGAATTTAACTTTTGGTTTGGTTGATTTATTTTTAAATGAGCACCAGTTTAAATCATTCTGATTATTTTGAAATAGTTATTCAAATGTATATTTATGAAGCCACTAGTGGTAAAATGTATAGATTTCAATTTCTCTTTTCAAAAGAGCAATATCTAGAGAGAATATGACTTCATATATGTACTTCCATACAGTTTTAAAATCTGTACACCATTTTAGTCTCTTTCGAAATTAGTCATAGTATTTCCCCTTTAAACTTAAAAAATGATTATAACAAGGAACTCTGTTTATGGGTGTTTTGTAAAAATTTTTAATTGTGATAAATACATACATTAAGTTTACCATTTTAATTAGTTTTAAGTGTATAGTTCAGTAGTGTTAAGTGTATTCACATTTTTGTGCAGCCAGTCTCCAGAACTCTTTACTTCTTGGGAAACAAACTCAGAACCATTTAACAGCATCTCCTCATTGCCTCCTCCTTCCAGCCCCTGGCAACTACCAGTTTAACTGTCTCTGTGAATTTGGCTACTCCTGTACCTCATATAAGTAGAATCATGAAGGTTTTGTCCTTTCTTCACCGACTTCTAGCACAACGTATTCAGGTTTCATCCATCTTGTAACATGTGTCACTCTTTCCTTCCTTTTTAAGGCTGAATGATATTTCATGGTAGGTATATACTACTTTTTGTTTATTCGTTCATCTGTCAGTGGACACTTGGTTGTTGTGAATAATGCCATGGACATAGGTGTACAAGCATCTCTTCAAGTCCCTGCATTCATTTCTTTTGGGTATAAACCCAGAAGTGGAATTGCTGGGTCCATGTGTTAATTTCACGTTTAAGTTTTGAGGAAACGCCATACTATTTTCTGTAGTGTCCACAACATTTAACATATTTACCAACAATGCACAAGGGTTTCAGTTTCTCTGCATCTTTGCCAGTACTTGTTATTTTCTGTTTGTTTGTTTTCTCTTTTGATAGTAACCATCATGATGGTTGAGGTGATTTAACTCAAGTCTTATTGACCAAAGTTAGTAGTATCCTTAGCCCTAAAATGAAAATTAAAGGGTTTGGCAGAGTTTTTACTCTGTATTTGCTTAAAAATCTGAACTTAATAAATTTCATCATAAAATTTCTTACTCCATTATTTAGTTAGGTCACATATTTATTAGTGTTCACATATTTACTACATTACTTACATTATCATCCTCCGTGCTAACATAGGAAGGCAATGGCTATAATTTAACATCTCTAGTTGACAAGAATTAGAAATGGGTGAAAGAGAGTGTGAGATAAGGTAGGTGAAGTATGAGATTGTAAGGACTCTTGTTAGCTGAAGACTTTGAACTTCACTCTGTAGACAGTCAAGAAGCCATTTGGAGATTTTAAGTCCTGGTGGGGGCCTGAGGAAGAAGGAGTGGATACTATAGAGAGGACTGATTCGAACGATTTTAGAAAGTATTAAATACTGACAGATTTGGTTGGATTAGATATAAGATAGTGAAAAATTATGAAAAACTCTTAAATTTAGGCCTTAGGTTGCTGAGTGTGTAAGGAGTTAAATATTTAGAAAACTCTGGGTTCAAATCACGACTTTGCAACTAATTGTGAGACCTTGGGTAAATGTTACAATATCTGTAAATAGCAGTTTCCTTGACATAAAAGCAACGTTGTAGTTAATAGTACCTAACATGAGGAACAGGAGGAATGGAAGGAATTGTCTGCACCAGAATTGATAGAATGTGGATGGGGTCCATGAATTGGAGATGCTTTTAGGAACACTGGAAATTAGTGACCATGGGATCAGTCATGAGGTAGCTAAGGGAAGAAATAGATCATTGATAGCAGAGCACAAATAAATTGGGAGAATAAGTCTGAAGCAGTTAGTGATTTATGTAGCAATTTCATATATTTATGTAGTTTTTATTATTCATTTTTTGTACTCTCTTCTAAATAATTGTGATTTACTTTATCCTCTCGGGTAAGACAGGAATGTACTGCCTTGGTCATTGGGACTACAGAGCAGAGGTTGGAGTTTGCTCATGGTTAAGAAAATGATATATTTACTTGAGGAAGTATAAAAATCTTTCAGAGAAAGATCTGAAGCTTCCTTCAGATCAGTGGAAATAGATTGTAAAGAGTATCTCAAGTAGCCATGAATGTGTTGGGATGGGGTTGAGCCTGCATTAATGTACAGCAGAGGTGGGAGTCATCCCCTGGTACTTTGTTAGATGTTCTACCGTAACTCAGTATTACTACTGAATTCAGAAGTCCTCCAGGGTGCTTGGGTGGCACAGTCAACTAAGTGGCCAACTCTTGGTCTCAGCTCAGGTCGTGATCTCAGGTTTGTGAGATCGAGCCCCGCGGCAGCCTCTGTGCTGTGTGCAGTCTGCTTGAGACTGTCTTTCCCTCTCTCTGTGCCCCTCTACCCCCTCAAATACATACATACATACATACATACATACATACATACATACATACATCTTAAAAAAAAAAAATCAGGGGATCCCTGGGTGGCGCAGCGGTTTGGCGCCTGCCTTTGGCCCAGGGCCCGATCCTGGAGACCCGGGATCGAATCCCACATCAGGCTCCTGGTGCATGGAGCCTGCTTCTCCCTCTGCCTGTGTCTCTGCCTCTCTCTCTCTCTCTCTCTCTCTCTCTCTCTCTCTCTGTGTGACTATCATAAAAAAAAAAAAAAAAAGCAGAAGCCCTCCAAAAGTATTAGTCTAAAATATTCGTAAAAGCAGCACTTATTTTCTATGAGCCCTATAAGGTGAGGTATCTTACAAGAGAAAAATATTTTGTTAATAGGAAAATATTCTGTGTCAGTATTTCTTATACTTAGTTCATTTTAATTATCAAACATTTTCGTTTTCTCTTTTATTTTTTTATTAGGACGAAGAAAGTATTCCTATCATGTATAGGAATTTACCTGAATATAAGGAACTATTACAGTTTAAAAAGTTAAAGAAGCAGAAACTCCAGCAGATGCAAGCTGAAAGTGGATTTGTACAACATGTGGGCTTCAAGGTAAATTCTATCATTTATTCAATTTTTGAAAGGGTGATAAAGATTTAAGGTAGTTTCTGAAGCTTTAAAATCCAGACTTCCAGCACACAGATAAAAGTAAGTTTAGCTCTAGTACTGTTCATTTAACTGTAGTGTGCTTATAGATACTATGTTAATAGGTTTATGATTCAGTGGAAAGAATACAAACATACAGATATTTTGAGGTAAAATATGAGATTTTTTTGTCTATTTCCTTTTCTTACTCCCACCTTTACGGATATATAACTGACAAAAATTATATATATTTAAGGTGTACAAAATTTTCAGGTGCAAAGACAGCACTTCACATAGTTAGGTGTTTTGTATGTGTGTGGTGAGAACACTTAGGTACTTTTTCAGCAAATTCCAAGTGTACCGTACTATATTACTAATCCCAGGCTGTACATTAGATCTCCAGAACTTACTTGTTTTATAATTGAAAATTTGTATCATTTGACTGACCTCTTCCCATTTCTCCCACCTGTCAATCCCTGGCAACCACCACTCTCTCTGCTTCTATGAGTTTGAGTTTTTTTTTTTCATATATAAGTGAGATCGTATAGCACTTGTTCCTTTCTGTTGTTTATTTTACTCAGCATAATGTCCTCTACTTTCTCATCCATGTTGTCACAAATGGCAGGATTTCTTTCTCTTTTGTGGCTGAATAATACTTCATTGTGTGCATGACTTTTTTATTTTATCCTTTCATCCATTGGACCTATTTCTCTCTTTGTTGCTGTTCATAGATCAGAAATTTCTTTTCCCCTTCCAGGCTAGTAGAAGTATATCCATTCATTTCACAAAATTTTGAAATACCCATTATTATGTTCCAGGCACTTTGCTTAAGTGCTAAAGATTCACTAGTAAGCAAGATGGACAGACTTAGTTTCTGTCTTTATTCTGTTTTCATCTCATAAGGAATTTAGAGAAGTTAAATTAGTAAAATAGCTGAGTATAACTAGAGAACTGGAGAGTAGTAAGGCTATTCAGATGCCTTGGAGATTTGCTGAGGAGTTTAAACTTTCCTTGAAGTGTTGAAGAACCAAAGAAGAAGTTTAATCAGAGTAACATGAAATTTGCATTTCATAAAAATCATTCCTATTACTTAAACTATTAGTATTATAATAGTCTTTGGGAAGGCAATGAGTTTAGAGTGGATAATCTCTGACTACTATATTGTTAAATTCTGTAAACAGTAATGTATTCATGTATTATGTATGTAACTGAAAAAAATTAAGTGAAGGAGAAGATCATTCTGGACGTAGTATGGAGAATGGATAAGAAGGTGGGGCTGGAGGCAGGAAGACTGGTTAGACATTCTTTTGGTAATTTAGACAAAAGTTAAGAATGCCCTGGGCTTGATTGGTGGCTGTGGAAATTGAGAGATCAGATTGACAAGTTTGAGAATACTTGGGCCTTTAGAATTGACTGTACTTGGTGAGATTGGAGGAAGTAAAATGAGACCAGGAACTATGTAAGAGTTGCTGGTAGCGGTATACATGTAAACATACTGATATGTGCTGTAACCGATACACAGAAACTTAAGATTATTATACCGCTGAACATCTTATATGGCCATTAGTTAGACTATATTAAATGATTTTTTTCCTCTTGGTCTTTCCATAACCCTGCTTCTCCATTAGAAATTTTCTTAATTGGTATCGCTGGCCTGTCAAGAGGAAACTCTCCACTTCTCAAAATTTTGTTGTAAAACCCAGCTGTGGCTTGTTTACTAATCTGTCAGCCACTCTGGTTGGCCTGATGATCAAAGCAACTAGAAATGAGATTGATTTTCAGAATTGCCCAGGAGAGGCTGCGGGCTACCACGATGCCACCACACTGGGAAGGAGCTAGATCTGCCTTTTCTTTGTGTGATAGGCATTGGTATTAGGATTCTTCAGGCTTTGAAGAGTAATTTGATAAAAGTTTAGATAGAGAGGACTTTGTGTTTACCTGGGTTCACTAACAATAGCTTGTTCAGTAGTTCTGTAATGTATTTGTGTAGTTTTAACTATGGCTTTCAGTCACAGTCATTATACCCTGGTCTGAAGTCCGTTTAAAGTAAAGTTATTAATAATCAATCCAGATTTCCAGGGGATTTACTTAAAATTTTAAAAAGTAAAGAGTATGCTTCTCAGGGACCCCTGGGTGGCTCGGCGGATGAGCCTCTGCCTTGCTCAGGGCGTGATCCCAGCATCCGGGATCGAGTCCCACAGCGGGCTTCTTGTAGGGAGCCTGCTTCTCCCTCTGCCTACATCTCTGTGTCTCAAATGAATGAATGAATGAATGAATGAATGAATGAATGAATGAATGAATGAATAAATAAATAAATAAATAGATAGATAGTCTTTAAAAAATAATAAACTTTAAAAAAAAGTATACCTCTCAGGATGAGCACTGAGTCATGTATAGAATTGTTGCATCACTATATTATATGCCTGAAACTAATAGAATAGTGTGTGTTAACTGTACTGGAATTAAAATAAAAACTTTAAGAATTTTTTTAAAAATTTTTTTAAACTTTAAGAATTTTAAAAATAAAAGCATATTGAAGGTTATCCCTCAGTTATTAGAATGTCTCTCTCACTCACCTGTACTTGTATCTTGAATGGATGGAATTTCTGCTAGGTTGCTAGAAATTGTGTTTAACTGACAAGTTTTTATGTTCTGCTGTCTAGTGCATGGGGAGGGAGGAGAGGATGTTTCTGTGCACATTGTGTGTTTGTGTTTCCCAGCAGGAAAAAAAGGTTTTGTAACAATGTTGTTTAATATTTTTTCTCTCTGAAACTTCCATAGTGTGATAACTGTGGCATAGAACCTATCCAGGGCGTTCGGTGGCACTGCCAGGATTGTCCTCCAGAAATGTCTTTGGATTTCTGTGATTCTTGTTCAGACTGGTAAGTGTTTTCTTCACTGTAGGTGCCACATTTTAACCAGTAAAGAGCTTCTCAGCCACTGGTGAATTTGATTTCTAAACTACTTAGAAAAGGATCATGTGTGGTGGATTAAACTGTGTTGTTCTAGGCAATTAAGAAATTTTCTTTAATTATATCACATCTTGAGTAACTTTCCATTAGAGATTTTGCTAGATTAATGGATTTAAATAGGTAGAGCTATGAGGAAGTTTTGTAATGTCTAGACAAAAATGCATCCAGTGTCATGTAATGATGTGTGTGTTGTTTTCTCTGCAGCCTACATGAAACAGATATTCACAAGGAAGATCACCAATTAGAACCTGTTTATAGGTCAGAGACATTCTTAGACAGAGACTACTGTGTGTCCCAGGGCACCAGTTATAATTACCTTGACCCAAACTACTTTCCAGCAAACAGATGACATGGAAGAGAACATCATATACTAGTCCTCTTCAACACATAGCAATGGTATCATTGTGAATTATGTGCACAGTTTGGAAAGATTCTCTGCTTTCCCTGAATGACACTCACAGCATGACAGCTTCCTGAGTGTTCTCGTCAAGTCCAGCTCTGCACCGTTGTGACTCTAGATCACTGTTCAGCAGCTGAACATTCCTGGTGAGCAAAGGGTTTCCCTGGTGAATTTCTCATCACCACCCTAAAGCCTTTCAGGTGGTGATCTTAAATGGGTGAGATGGAAACGAGAGCACACATTAAAGAGAGAGTAAATTCCAAAGGTTTCAAAGAACTCGGTCATAAATAGGATAATGAGAAGACAAAGTATTTATATTAAAACAGTTTAGTAGCTTTCAGTTTTGTGAAAATAGTTTTCGGCACAGAAGCTGACTTCTTAGACAAAGTTTTAACCAATGATGGTATTTGCTTCTAGGATATACACTTTAAAAGAACTCACTGTCCCAGTGGTGGCCGCTGATGGCCTTTAGTAAATCGGAGCTGCTTAACCATATTGATGTCTAATTTCTTTTAACCACAATGAACTGTCCTTATTACCAACAGCGAAGCACTACAGGAGGCAACTGTGGCATTGCTTCCTTAACCAGCTCATGGTGTGTGAATGTTATAAAATTGTCACTCAGATATATTTTTTAAATGTAATGTTATATAAGATGATCATGTGATGTGTACAAACTATGGTGAAAAGTGCCAGTGGTAGTAACTGTGTAAAGTCTCTAATTCACAACATTAATTCCTTTAAAATACACAGCCTTCTGCCTCTGTATTTGGAGTTGTCAGTGCAACTCATCAAAGAAAACTGCCTAATATAAAAATCATATATATGGTAATAATTTCCCTCTTTTGTAGTCTGCACAAGATCCATAAAAGATTGTATTTTTATTACTATTTAAACAAGTGATTAAATTTAGTCTGCGCAGTGAGCGAGAGTTCACATGCATTCTTTTATACTGCTGGATTTTGTTGTGCATCATTTAAAACATTTTGTATGTTTCTTCTTATCTGTGTATACAGTATGTTCTTGAATAATGTTCATTTGTCAGGAGAACTGTGAGAAATAAACTATGTGGATACTGTCTGTTTATATTATAGAATGCTTGTTGTGACTTCCTTTTGGTTAGATTTTGGATTTTTTTTACTAGTGTTAAAACCAAAAAAAAAAAATTTTTTTTTTAAGGGGTTGCTTTACCTTTCTGTCCTTTAAAAAGAGTAAGGACTATAGTATTATGGAAATGGGTTGAACGTGAGAAGCTCTCTGAAAAGATGGTTATATTTTTACTCAGTGTGTGCTGAGACACTAAATTAAGTTAGGTTACAAGAAGAACACACACCATGGTTAAAGAGGCCACTGTTAATGTCCGGATGGGAAAACTAAGGTTGAAAAATTTTACTCTTATTCTTTTTTTTTTTCCTCTTATTCTTTTTTGATGAAAGTAAGCCCCCCTCCACGTGTTAATTAAGCAGATGGTTTTTGAAGATCACTGTATTCACTGGCAATCATTAACTGTTGAAAGAGATGATATAAATATTCTAAGATTAAGTATTAATACTCAGCTAATTTTTAGAGTTTTTTTCCAATTTTAAATCAAGGGAACATTATTTACTAGTTCTTCAGTATGTTGTGAGGTACTAAAATCATACCTTGAATTTTTTTAATTGAAAAAAGTAATATAATTTTAAATATAGAAATATGAAGATTTTAAAGTAATATATTGATTAAAGATTACTGACGATGTTGATAAAATATATTACATCAGGAATAACAGGAAATGGACTTGAGCTTAACCTCTCACCCTGGAATTAATTAGTTGGGAGAAGAGGGAATCATTAACATTTGGGCATTTTGATATTAAATGTTAAGTGACTATGCCAGGAAATCTACCTTCAACTTGTAGCAAGACAGCTACTATGAGCAAGACAGAGATAATACTATGATTAGTTTTGGAGAACCGTTCAGGTCCATTAAAAAAATCCCATAAAGTATAAGCTTTGGAAGCTTGGAAGCTTTGGAAGAGGACTGTGTGTGATACAATTCTGATGTAAACAATACACTAAATAAATCCACTTAAATATATTTTTCAAGGGCAGAGATTTTGAGAAACTTAAGTGGCAAAGAGGATTATTTTCTGCTTGAGTAAAGATGTGTTTATTTTGCATTTTTCAGCTCCAAGCATATAGTCTTGGCTTTAAAAGGCTCTAGAGTTAGTAGTAGTAGTAGTAATAGTAGTAGTAGTAGTAGAAGTAGTAGTAGTAATAGTAGTAGTAGTAGTAACGTGTTGTCGTTCTAATTTGCAGACTGCAGGAAGGGGCAAGGCGGTCTTTTGCAAGTAGTCCTTGCATCTCCTACAAAGAAGTATTGGCTTTAAGAGACAACACAGACAGACTTGTTAAAGCATTGTGTATTAAGTGGTATTCAGTAGGTCAACTGTATTTCCTGAGATGCGTTCAAGTTATTTGCTAAGAACTGAAGGAACTTTGAATGACACCTAAAACCACTGCTCTAAGGTTTAGGCAGAGGAAGTTTTGATTGGTGTCATGTGCACTAATAATAATAGCAAATATTAATTAAGTGCTTACTATGTGCCAAGCAAGCATATAGTAGCAGATTTAATTCTCCCAGCCTTAGGAGAAAGGTGCGTTGATTATCCTGTTTTCATATGAGGAGATCTAGCCAGACAGGTTAAATAACTTGCTTAATAAGGTCATAGAGTTAGTAAAGTTTAACCTAGACAGATTGCTCCAGAGTCACTACTCACTTTCTGGAGCAAGAATATTCCCCTTTGTGTCAGGCGTCACTAAGGTGGTGGAGGCGGAAGTGTGCAGGGTTGCTTTTCAGTCTTGTTTTTCTGGTGTGGTGTGGTTCCTGGAGTTACAAACCTTCGTACAGGCCCAGGTTCACAGCACAGAATATAGAGGCAGATCTGCAGATGGGGAAATAGTCTGCCTCGGGAGTTACAAAACCACAAGTGCATAGAATTTACATATTCTAATTTGATTTGACTTGTAATCCTGAGGCTTTAGGCAAAGCCTCCTGCCTGAGACAGAGTTTCCTTGCTTGCTTGGTGCCTCTCACTTAACAGTATGCCTTATCCAGTCTTCTCCCTTTTTCCCTTTTGTTTAAATTACATTACAGAACACAATTATATACTGAGATATGAAGAACTTTTTTTTTTTAAAGAAAATAGTATTTCACAGGTAGTAAGGATAAATACTCTTTTGTGAAATTCCCTTTTTAGTTGTAACTGTGGCATGCTATATAAACTATTAATGTGAATAACAGTTTGAAAGCTGTTGTTCTAGGTGTAGTGGATAGAATTGGAAGTCTCCAAATAACAAGTAGGTTTTTTTTTTTTCTCACGAAGATTATGGAAGTATTGTCTTTTTTAGGCCATGAAATGTTTTTATTTCCTAACCTTATGAAAATACACTTCTGTTGATATGATCCCTCCCCCAAAATATGACTTTTTTTTTTTAACTTTTCATGTAGCCGATTAAATGGATTTTTGAGAGTAGTATCACATTTAGCTCCATGAGGACAGAGACCATCCATGTCGATCTGTATCCCTATGGCCTGCCTGGCTCTTAGTAGATTTTCAGTAGATATTTATTGGTAGTATGATCAATGTTTTGATGAGTTATATTTTTTTCTCCAGGAAAGTAGGAGAGACCACTTAATGTCTGAATGTGTCTGTAAGTGCCTATGGGGGCCCTTAGAGGCCTGCCTCAGATCTTTCCAGGGCCCTGAGAGGACTGAAGAATTCATCCTATTTTATCTGGGAGATGTAGTTCAACCCTGGGTGGCTGAGAAGATTAGGCTTCTCTCTGGGTCCCCAGCTAGGCCATGTATCTTGGTTCTCTGCCATGTTTTTAGAGTGAAAGGGCACTAGAGTAGAAATTCTGGGTCCCAGTCCCAATTGTCAGTGAGGCACTCAATATATAAATGTTGACTAAAAACCACGTTTTATTGAACTTTAGGAACTAGTTAATGATTCAGATGTATTATTAACTGATTTAATCCTCACCACCCCTCTGTGAGGGTGCTTATTATGGTGATCTCTACCGTACAGGTGAAGTAACTAAGGTTCAGAGTATTTAAACGTTAGCTCTCAATAATAATGCCATGTGTGGAACTGAGGATATAACGCTTTGGCCTTATTAGAGCTTATCGTCTAATGTAGAAGAATAGCCGTGAACAAGTACATATAAAATATGTTGTAAAGTTAGGCAGAGATAAATGCCATGAAGAAAAAATAACCCCTGAAGAAAAATGATAGAAGAGCGGGGACCCATCTGTCATTTCAGATGGAATAATAAAAGAATGTCTTGATGACAAGTGTAAATTTGAACAGAGACCTGGACAGAGTGAAGGAATTAGCTTGTGAATAACCTGGAGGAAGAGGCAAAAGGAGAGCAAGTGAAGAGTGTGGCTTGTTTAGGCAGCAGTAAGAGGCCAGTGTAGCTTGAGCCAAAGGAGCAAGAGGAGAGTGTAGTTGATGGGGTGATACTAGGGTGCGGGGCCAGAGCAGGTGAATGTGGACCATTGTGAAGGAGTTTAGATCCTGTTCTGATGTCTTATTTACATTCACACAAGGGCTTTTGTTAGGCAGATCCCTCTAAGATCCTTTCCTGCTTTTAAAATCTTGTGACTTTTAAGGTAGCTATGTCATTTCACGCTACCCACATCAGTAACGAGTTTTAGCAGTCTGTTGCTTCTCTGGATACTCTTTAGGGGCAAAGCCATCTACTCCCAGCTGTTTTTTCTTTTTTTTTTTCCTTCCCCTGTGGGCTGCCCTACTATCTCATTTCCCTTACTCAAGCTGTTAGAGCTGTGGTAGGCCTGGACTGTGTTTGCCAATATGTGGTATGTGTTTAAAGAATGTTAATCCCTACAAAGAGTCATTTTGTGTTTTTGGCATAACTGGTAATTTTCATCTTCTAAGTCTCTTTAATTTGCTGAAATGCTCCTTGTCCCTCCCCCGCCCCACATAGAGAGTGTGACAACTGGGGTGGTAATGAAGTATTTTGACAACTGTGTGAGTTGTAGGAACATGCCCCTTTTTGGTACTAGAGGCGTAATTGTAACCAAAGAAGTTTAATTTCTTCTTTAGCAAACACTGACATTTCTGTTTAAGAATGACTGCTAGAGCAAAAGGAAATACAAAAATTACCATGTATCATGAGTACACTGAGAATTCTCTCTGTAATAGCTCAAAACTGATCTCTGGCCAAGATTAAAACCATATGAGCATATCCTAAATCTCAACTATTACTGTGTTTGCTTCTAATTCTGTTTGGAATAAGGCTTCAAGTGCTTTCCAGAATGATGTGAGTTACAAATAAATAGAAAAAGAGTTATGTTGTGTTCCATTTATTTTATTTGTACATATCCATTTCAAAAAAAAATGACTAAAAATAACAATTCTGTCCCAGAATTGGATCCTTATCAACACAACCATTGAAGGGGGGGGGGAAGTCATGCAAACTGAAACTATGGGCTTTTGTAGTGACTGAATGGAAGATGCAGTTATTCCAGTAGAATATATAAGAAGCTCTGTTTTGGCAACTGATAGCACAAAAGAGAACCCAGACTTCACTGGTTTGAAGCAAGGAAAATACAGTTTTACATACAGACAAGGTTTGCACGACCCCGTTAAAGGCCTGGGATCTGTTCAACGCCAGGGACTGACCTGCCTCTCCTACCCTCATCAGTTCGGTTACTGTTACTTTATGTCTTACTTGCTCGACAGTAATAATAAGTAGATGGGTGGTCACGTCAAATCAAAACTAAGTTGACATTAGTCTGGTGGATGCAGTAAGAAATCACCTCATGCTTTTAGTTACTTTTGGTCCTTAGTGTTCATGTGCAGTTGCTGAAATGCACCACCAGGTACTGAAGGGATTAGGTTAGACAGTTTATCCAATCTGTTTTCTTAGCCATTATGACAGTATTCCAAGTAGCCAGCTTCCTAAAAATGAATGGACAAGTGTCATTGGCGACTACTCTGAGTTTTACTGTCTTGGAAAAAGCTGTACAATTTCACATTGTATTATTTCTTATCAAGTTTTCACATTTAATCAAATTTATCAACAATTCTCAACCCAGTGTCTCTGGCTCCGAGCTACTGCTAGTGGATGAGACTTGAGGACATAGCCACTAGAGGTGATGCCCAGGCCTGCCCCTCCTGTTAAGGCCCTTCAGGCAACAGCATGTAAATCTCGGGGTGAGAAAGGAGAATGTGATGGGGAATTGGGTGCTCACCCCGTTTGCTAGAAACCAAACGGTCAGACTCCCAAGTCCTGCGGTCACAGCTGACACAGACTGGCACTGCACTGCTGTTCACATACTAGCAGCTCTGAGGCGCAACCTATAGGATAGATATGTGTGCGTGCTGGGGGCGGACAGCTGTCTGAATTAGGGAGAAAAGGTTGGAGAATACCAAATACATCATGCATGGTTTCCAGACACCTCTCAGAAAGGTCAAGTTGGGAAGCAAACAGCAACGTCAGGATTGGGCCTTGGGGAGGGGGAGGGGGCGCAGAAACGACACAAAAGGGTTAACTTGAAACATATTGTGTTAAGGGATGAACCTTTTAGTATTTTTTCCTGTCTCCACTCTCAACGTACATGCTTTTTTGTCTTCAGAAAATAGAGTCAATAGCTGTGCAGAGTTGAAGAAAAACTTCCTCTGGCGTCCCCTCTGCATTTACCTATATTTAAGAGGGGGAAAAAAAAGTTAGTCTTTTTTTTTTTAAAAAAGATATCTATTTATTTAGAGAGTGAGCGCTAGCATAGGGAGGTGAGGGAGAGGAAGAGGGAATCTGAAACCAACTCTGCACTGAGCACGGAGCCCTACCCTGGCCTTGATCCCACGACCCTGAGATCATGTCCTGAGATGAAATCAAGAGTCAGAGCCTTTAACCAACTGAACCACCCCAGGTGCCCCTACAAAGTTAGTCTTAAGAAATGTTTGCAAATATTTGTAAATAAGACTCTAATAAAAAAAAATCACCTGCCTCATAACTTGCTGTGCAAATTTTTAAAATATGAGACCCCAAAACCACAGAGAAAAAAGTGAGTAGTTGTTTAAGTTTGCCTAAATTACAACCTCAATGAGATACCACTACACACCTTTTAGAATGGCCAAAATCCAAAACACGCCACCGAATGCTGGTGAAGTTGTGATGCAGAGGGAGTGCTCATTTTTTGCTGAGGGGAATACAGCCACTTTGGAAGACAGTTTGGCACCTTCTTACAAAATTAAACATTCTGAGCCATATAATCCAGGAGTTGCACGTCTTGGTTTATGTCCACGCAAACACTTGCACGCGGGTATTTATAGGGGCTTTATTCATCATCGCCAAACTTAGGAGCAACTAAGATTTCATTACGTGAGTGGATGAACTGTGGTGTCCAGACAATGGAATATTACTTACCACTCAAAGGAAATGAGTTACGAAGCCATGAAAAGACTTGAGGGGAAACTTCAGATTCATATTACTAAGTGAAAGAAGCCCATCTGAGAAGGCTACATACCACATGACACGATGGAAAAAGCAAAACTATGGAGACCATAAAAAGACAGAGTTGAGGAGGAGAGAGCGGAATGAATGGGTGACGAAAAGGATTTTTATGGTAGTGAAAATGGTGCCTACATGTCACGTATTTGTCAAAATTCATCGATTGTGATGAACTGTGCTCGTGCGGGACGTTGAGTGTGGGGACAAGGGCATGAGAATTCTACTTTATGTTCAATTCTGTGAATTTTTAGATCTCTTAAAAAAACAAAAACTAGGTGCCTTGTTGAGGTAAAGCTGAGGCTCGTGGAAAGACGATACAGTTCAAAGGAGACTTCTGAGTGTTCTGGAGCATTTGGAGCAGGACGGGAATAGGGCCCAGGGGGTGGACTGTAGAGAAGCAAGCGTCAGTAGGGCCCCCCCACAGCAGAGGCGGCCGGAAGGGAGGGGGTGGGCCTCCTGGGGACGTAGGCACCCTACCTGGTCCTCTCAAAATATCCTAACGTTTTACTGGCTTTCAAGGTGTGTCCCACCACCCCTGGGACAGACAGCCTCAGGACTCCCGGGAGGGGTGGGCCGCCAGCCGGCAGGCTGCAGCCTGTGCAGGCGTCATCTCCGCGCGCTCCTTTGCTAGAGTCCAGCTGGGCCTTCTAACCTGCATCTTTCACACGCTGTCCAGGTGATTTGGGGCCACACTCGGAAAAACACGGATTTCTTCCACTCTCGGCTACCTCGGTGCAAACTAGTTTCGATTTCACAACACTAGGGACTTTACAGACCCTGAAGGCAGAATGATTCTCAACCTCCCTCCACCCGGCTGCCCACCCCTCCAAACCCACCACATTTAAACATCCCACAAGGCAGAGCAACAATGTTTCTAGAAGCATTTTGTTTGTAACAGCCCCAAACTGGAAAACTCACTAAAGTCCATCAGCAGTTGATGGATGAGTAAATTGGTGGCCTAGTCGCATGATGGGAGAAACGCTCAGCAACGAGGGTTCATGTCCCAAAGCTGGGGGTGGGGGGAGGAAACAAGTCTCCAAAGGACACACACCCAGGGTGATTGACGTCCTACAAAATCCAAGAATGCGCAAAACTAAACCGTCGGTTAGGGATGCAGACACGAATGGTAAACTCTAAGGAGAAGCGAGAAGATTATCATAAACTCAGGATAGTGGCCACTTGGAGGGAAGAGGTGAGAGCCCGGAAGCTTCTGTCTTCTCCTGCTTCTGGCCTGGGGGGTGGTGACACGGTGTTCGTTTTAGAGTTCTCCAAACTGTGCACACTGCTCCTGCATCCCTGTGTGTGACCTACCTCGCGACAAGGAAAACCCGGAAATGGAAAAGGATTTAAGCGGCCCTTCCCCGGTGAATGGGTGGCATCCGGTCCCTCCGGGAGAGTCAGGCTCCCCATCTGGGGGCTTTGCGACGCGTGGGTCCCTCACAGCACCTTGCTCTATTTACCTCTCCTCTCCCCCCCCCACTTTAAAAAAAAAAAAAAGACTTTATTTGTTCATGAGAGACAGAGAGGCAGAGACCCAGGCAGAGGGAGAAGCAGGGAGCCCGACGCGGGACCCGGGGTCGCATGAGCCGGAGGCAGGCGCTCCCCCACTGAGCCCCGAGGCAGCCCTCTCCTTCCTTTTCCTTTCAATCAACAAACCTCTCCGGGCTGCTAACAGCGCCTCGTGTGCTGGGGACAGCAAGCTGAACAGGACGAAGGCATCCCATCTCGGGAGTCCAGCCCCGCGACCACGGGGGAGACACGGGGGAGACGCAGAATGAACGGGCATCCGCGCCGGCCTGCGGGAAGTACAGGAGCACCTTCCCGACGTCGGGAGGGCGGGGAAGCTTCCCCAGGAAACTCCTCGTCGGCGTCATCACCACCATCTAACATGACAGACTTTACCACTCATGAAGCGTGCTTTTATTTATTTTAAATTATTTTTTAAAATATTTATTTATGGGATCCCTGGGTGGCGCAGCGGTTTGGCGCCTGCCTTTGGCCCAGGGCCCGATCCTGGAGACCCCGGATCGAATCCCACGTCGGGCTCCCGGTGCATGGAGCCTGCTTCTCTCTCTGCCTGTGTCTCTGCCTCTCTCTCTCTCTCACTGTGTGCCTATCATAAATAAATAAAAAAAAATTTAAAAAAAATATTTATGAGAGAGAGAGAGAGAGAGGCAGAGACGTAGGCAGAGGGAGAAGCAGGCTCCATGCAGGGAGCCCAACGTGGGACTCGATCCCAGGACCCCAGGATCAGGCCCTGGGCCAAAGACGGTGCTAAACCGCTGAGCCACCCAGAGAAAAATAAATTATTTTTTAATTAAAAAATAAATGTATCTTTAATGAAACGTTTTCAGGCCTGCCCTGGCTTCCCATGGGCCTTTGCTTGCTGGCCCCTTCTCTCCCATCCTGTCCCCAAGCCCTCCAGCCCCTCCCGGACACCTGCTCCCCCCCACCCAGCATCAGTGCCTGTGAACCAGCAGGTAACTGACGCCGCCCTCGGAGCCCCCTGCTGCCATTCCCCTTCCCTGCTGCCAAGGAGGCCCCGCGGGAGCAGTTGGATCCCCAGGGTCGCCCGGCTGAGTGCCCGGGGCTGCCCAGAACCGGCTCCCTGACCCCACTGTCCCCACACTTGCCCACGACGTGACATTCCATCCCCAGGGTGAGGCCGCAAATGCTGAGCCCTTGTGGATCGTGGAGAGGCTGTTAGTGATGATAACTGGGGATTACCTAGGGGGTGTTCCTTATTTTTTTTTAAAGATTTTATTTATTCATGAGAGACACAGAGGAAGAAGCAGGCTCCTGTGGGGGGAGCCCGATGCGGACCCCGGGATCACGCCCTGAGCTAAAGCCCCCCGGGCGCCCCACCTAAGGGTCTTTAAAGTAGGGCTCCAACCCCAGGTGACGTAAAAGTCAAAGTCGTTGATCAGACAACTGCCAGGGGGGTGAAGGTAAGGCAAAGAGCACTGTGTGATGAGCCACGCTACCTGGTGCCACCTCGGGGGAGCATCATTCGTCCCCTGGGGGGCCTCAGTTTCCCCCTCTATAAAGGGGCTGGCTGATGTCACGCGGGCCGTGACCAGGCTCGAGCTCCCGGGCTCTCTGCCTTCCCAGAGCCGGGCACGTCCCCATGGGGATGCGGTGCCCGCCAGGGGCATGGGGCAGCTCCTGTGTCGCCAGGCCGGCGGGGGGCTGCCGATCCTTAGGCCCGAGAGCCTCTCGGGGAGAGACCCGCGTGTGCAAAGGGCGAGATGGGAAAGCAGGCGGGGTTGTCCGGGACGCGGCCGCTTGGGGAGCACGTGCTGCTCGGGCTGGGGAAGGAGGCCGGGGGCTGGAAACCAGGCGGGCTGGGGTCGGCCTGCCGCGGGCATCTCCCATAAATGGGATCGCACAGTACAGGTAGTTTTTGGCGCCTCCCCCCCACCCCAAGCACCGTATTTTCCAGGCTCGCCCATGGTTTAGTGGGTCCAGTACCTCCTCCCTTCGCTTTTGTGGCCCAGGGTGACTCGTGACCTTGAACCTGAGCGTCCAAGACGAGCCTTGGAACGCAGGCCCGCCCTCCCTTCCACCCCTTTTCCGCAAGCCTGCCACTGCCCTCTGCCCTCTGCCCTCTGCCCCACCGAACCTGCCCTTGCCCGTGGTGATCAAACCCTGGAAGGAGGGAAAGGGTGTTTAAGGCAGGTCCCTACCCCGGCCCGGTTCCCTCCCCGGCTGGGGGCGGGGGAGGGAGAAGGTAAGAGATCACGGCCGCTCGGCTGCTCGGCGGCCGTTCACACTGTCCTTGACCTCGGCAGTGGCGGACACGCAGGTCTCGGGTCCCCCCTCCTCGGCACATTCCCACACGGAGAATATTTTAAGGGAACGTTGAGTGACTTTTGTATTTTCGTGTATCAGTGCGTGACTCAGAGGACATGGGGAAGAGCCAACTTGCCGAGTGCCTCTGGAGCGCAGGAACCCTCCGTGCGGACCACGCGGGCGCACAGAGCAGCAACAGGGCGCTGGCGTTGACCCCCTAGGGACCCGATCCTAGGGAACCGGGCCGGGCCCGGGGGCTGCTTGTCCTGTGTGAGGGGGACTTCCTCGGCGGTCGTGCAAAGCCTGGAATCAGACGTCCTCGAGCTTTCGCTCCGTGGGCAGCGCTCATGCACTGCACTCTCCGTGCCCGGGGCGGTTGGCACAAGCTCCCCGCCGTC